CGAAGAGACCCACGCAGATGTCGGCGACCGCCGGGACACGACCAGCAGGTTGCTCGGCGTGCGGAGTCGCCGGCCCCGCAGGACGGCCACGCACACCAGGGTGTTCCCGAATATGGACAGGAACGCTATCACCACCTGAACAGACATATGGACATATGTAAAGGTTAACACAATCATATAGAAATATGATAATGATTAAGAAAAGACTCAGACCAAGGACGTTCTATCAGAGTGTCCTTAGTTAGACCCTGTTCTCAGTCGCTAACCAATGGCGCCATGGCTAGCCTCTACCAGGCTCCGCGGATCGCTGGAAAAATAGTAGAAATTGGCTGAAATAAAGGGATAGTATACCAGAGAAGATCCAGCCGGCCATAGAAGCTCCGTGGGTCGCAAATTGGAGCTTCTATGGCCCTGGATCTTCTCTGGTTTTACTATCCCTTTATTTCGGCCAATTTCTACTATTTTTCCAGCGATCCGCGGTGCCTGGTAGAGGCTAGTTGTAACTGAGGGTCGGGGGAAGCGTATTTTTGCCGGTATTGTGACAACAAGTTCACTAATTGCCATTTTTACACAGGAAGCAGCTGAAGTAGCAGCCAATTGGGCTGTTTTTCTACTAGCAATTGTACTACCGTGCTTTTATTTGCAAACAAACTTTGTGATGGTCCTATGGACTGTAAACTTTAGCCCCCGGCTTTGCGAGAAGAAATGACGTCACCTTTTTTCCACATCTCGCGAGAATAAAACGAGACTGCGAGAGCGGAGAAACCCGAACTTGAAGTTGCAATTGTTCCGCATTAGTCTATCATTAATTATGATCATCAGATGGAAAAATGGCCAAACTGAATTGCTAATAAAATTAATTCGGGCAGCAAAATGACAACCGACGTAGGGTATAGAATTTGAAGACAATATTTTATCACTCCGTTATCAAAATGATAGTGACGATGATGATGATGATGGGTCGAATCATCAACACAGAATGGGCAGAACGTCGTCAGAACGTACTGCGCCTGTGTGAAAAGTGTAGTGTAGATATATTGTGCAAAACACTACCGCAGAAGGTCACATTTGCATATTTAGGGATGACATCCCGTCTATAGTTTACAAATGGTGTGTGGGAAAAGATATCGCTTGCTACGGGCAAAATTATAATGCAAATCTGACAAAATATTAAACGAATCCATGGAAAATACGGATTTCGTTCTTCTGGCGTGTCCTTTTGGGTATCTTTTCACAAAAACAACTTTATTTATTTATTTAATTCATCATAAGACGGCTGGGTAGCCCCATTCAGCTTACATTAGCTGTTTTCCAAGGGGGCCAGCAAAATTACACAAGACATTGTTACATACAGTAGGACAAGAGCGGACAACATACAGTAAACATAAAAGTCCGATGCGTCAAAACAAAACTTTCGTCGTACCCACTACGTGGTTCTTTTCCAATTCGTCCCCAAAGTTGGACAAGCACAAGGACAAGCATCCAATCTAGTCACTACTTGCAAAGGAAAAACAGAAACTTAAAAATAGCGATAAAAAGGCCATTTTCAGTTTATGTCCATTATACGTTTTGTATTTCTTACCACGACCTTGTATTTGTGTTTTTTATCTTTAATGAGCAAATAATCATCCAGTGCATCCAGTGCAGTTTTTTGGGCTTGGAAACCCAATTTTTTAAAGTCAATATTCTAGTCGTTTATCTACATATTGAGTTGAAACCACACTGCCCAATGTATATTGACACTCATGGAGCAAGAATTCCCAAAATTCTGACGAAAATGGTTGCTGGAAGGGCCCTTGGCTGGTTTTTGGGGTACCAACCAGAAAATAAAGGACTCATCTTGGGGCTTGTTTCTGCAGTTGTAAAGGTTTAAAGTACTGACTCAAATGTGCTAATGTGGGGCAGTATGTGTGAATACGAATACGACAAAGATTGCCTTATTCGTAACATTTCCATGTTTGCTGCCATAAAATCGCATTTGATGCCTTTAAAACCACATTACGTGCTTCTGTCCAATGCTCACATAATCTAAGTGAATAAAATAAAATGAAATTAAAAAGAGGACCGCCCTTCTTCAACCTTCACGCCTGCCCGGGGACAGAGAACACCACAGGCCTTGACGAGGTTCTCCACAGCTCTCGTCCCCATGGTGATATCGACCACCGTGCGGACATATCTGTGTAGTCGTGCTGCAGACGACACGGGGAGTCACCTCTGACCTAAGGCATACCGATTTAATTTTATGGATGACATCCGCGCGTGCATTGATTTTAGCCTGTTCTCCAAAAAAAAAAAAGATCACGTCCTCCGAGGCTCTGGCCTGGCTCTAGGCCTGGGTAGTCCATGACAGTTAGCGACAATGCAGAGGTGGTAACTCTGGAGGATGGCACCCAGGCTACCGAAGCTCCACGACTCAAGACCTCAGTACATACGTACAGTGTCGATTCATAAATCCCCAAAAAAGCCAACATGTGCCGTCTTGTCGTATACTAGTATGCTGCTATGTTCTGCCGCAAATTCACAATACCAGCTTTGCCTTTGCATTCCTGTGGTTTAGTAGCATTTTTATTTTTGGCCGGATTTTTATTTTATTCGCCTGCGCGCACTAGTTTGGGGGTCTTCAGAGGATGTCATTCATAAAATCAAGTCAGTGTGGCCTTAAACAGGATAATGATCATGCGTCAATCCCTATGATAAATGATGTCACAAAGACGCACCTATCCGTGCCCTTTGATATAGACACCGTGGGCGAAGTGAAGAGATAATAGAAAGGTTGGTTTTCTCATCAGACCCACCTTATTTTTACCCTCGCAAAAACTCGTCCTACCGGTAGGACAGATTTGTACTGATTAGAGCAGGCTTGAATTACTTTTGTTACACGTAGCGGCATGACTTAAAAACACCAAAACATGTGTTTCCTCATAGCTTATTGTAGGAGTTTTGTACTGTTCTTGAAACAGATGACCTCCTGTGCAGGCCTCTGGGCTGGTGGGAGTTTTGTAGTCTCCACCAGACTTCTTTTGCGGGCTGAATAAATCGTAGAAATCGGCCTAAAAGGGGTATTAATTGGCCAGAGAAGGTAGCCGGCCAGAGAAGGTAGCCGGCCAGAGAAGGTAGCCGGCCAGAGAAGGTAGCCGGCCAGAGAAGGTAGCCGACCAGAGAAGGTAGCCGGCCAGAGAAGGTAGCCGGACCAGAGAAGGTAGCCGACCAGAGATAGCCGGCCAGAGAAGGTAGCCGGACAGAGAAGGTAGCCGGCCAGAGAAGGTAGCCGGACAGAGAAGGTAGCCGGACAGAGAAGGTAGCCGGACAGAGAAGCTCCATTTGCCCACGAAAGAAGTCTGGTGGAGACTAGGAGTTTTGGTACTGCGTTTTGCAGAACTTTTAACGGATCCGTGGCTGGTACAAACCTTCTCTGAGCGGAAGGTTGTAGGATGACCGGCAAAAGAACGTGTTAGAAATTCTACAAAACGCAGTATCAAAACTCCCAGCCGCCCGGAGACATGCACAGGTGGCCACAGATGACTAGAGGTAGTTTCCACCAGCAGACTTCTTTTGCGGGCTGAATAAATCGTAGAAATCGGCCTAAAAAGGGTATTAATTGGCCAGACAAGGTAGCTTGGCGGGGAAATGGAGCTTCTCTGGCCGGCTACCTTCTCTGGCCAAATAATACCCGTTTTAGGCCGATTTCTACGATTTATTCAGCCCGCAAAAGAAGTCTGGTGGAGACCAGACTAGAGGTGCCACAGACATTGTTGTTGCATCACTTCGACTCAGTACAGTTGAAGGTGACGTTAGTATAACAGTAAGTCCCGGGGATAGGCTGAAGGGTAGACCGTCGGGGTCACACTTTGGACACTGATTTATCGCCTGACTAATTGCTTAACAAAACAGACAGCTTGTCTGATATATACTACTTTCTTATCAATATCATGCTTGTTTTATTGTTTAGGTATTCCGAGGTATTGGGCTTGATTGATATAAAACCATATACAACTTGGTATGTGTTATCTGGGACACGATTCTATGTGATAAATGAGTTGTCTACAACCCTTCATCTAGTACTACCACTCTGGCACAAGGCCAAGGACACAACCCTCAGACGTGATTCGCTTTGAGGAACTCAAGAAGTGTAAAAATGTCAAGAAAAGGAGGATATATACGACTCGGCCTCTTTACCGACACTTCGTTAAGTGTAAGTTAAAACGTAGACTACGTCTTGTGTCTAGGAGACGGCGAAGAGCTGCAATAAGATAAAGACTGTGGGGAAAAATAGCCCCCCAACGACTCGAGGGACGCTCATCACTGCCTGTGGCTACATGTAACCTGGTATACCCAGTCTATCGTGGCTGGGGCAGGTTGTCTTCGGGGCTTTAATAGTTTCCCCCCGCCCAGTACAACAGACCGCCCGGTAGAAGTTTTACCGTGGCAAAAAAAAAGTTTGGCACGCCGGGAGTTGATTTCACTAATGAAACTCCCGCCGTAAAAATCTACCGGGGGAAACTAGCTCATTCGGGCGGGGAAGAGCTTCAGCAGCCCCGAAGAAAAACCCACCCAACAACGATAGACTGGATACCAACTTAGCGGCTATGTCACAACAACAAGAGAGTCAATCAATATGGCGCAGTCGATAGCGTCTGACGTCATAGGTCAAGATAAAGTCGTCTGAAAAGAGAACTGAGGCCACTCTACAGGATTGATGGATGTGATGACAAACAGCGCTTTCAACTTAAGACGTGTGTGTAAACGTAACAAGCATCTTGTAACTGGCACGGGGCACCTATGTCAGTACAAGACTTCGTATTATAGAGGGGGGGGGGCAGGGAAAAGTAGATAACTATCTCGGGTCAGACGCGTGCATGAGACATCGTCTAAGTGTAAGCTCCTAAAATTTATAAGTGACATGGTTTTCCAACCAGCTAGAAACAACTGAGTAAACGTAGCAGGCATTTTGTAACTGGCACGGGGCACCTATGTCAGTACAAGACTTCGTATTATAGAAGGGGGGCAGGTAAAACTAGATGACTTTCTCGGAACAGACGCGTGCATGAGCCATAGTCTAAGTGTCAGCTCCTAAAATTTATGAGTGACATGTTTTTTTTTCAGAAAAGCTTTCCAGTGATGATGCCCCTACTGTG